CGGACGATGATCCGATCCCCACATCCTCATATACTGCGTCTTCGTATGAGGGAACTTATCATGCCAATCCTCATTACCAACAGCTCTGTCCAAACGACATCTAACTGTAACCCTCCCTGCTCTTTTCCCAGCCCATGATAGCGAATTTCCTGTGAATGGAAACTCCAACATTCCACAGTCACTTAACATTTGTCTGAAGGGCAGGAAAGAGCTGTCTGTGCGTTCACGACCCCCCTCTTTCTCTTCAGGGCATGTAATCTCATTAAAGTCACCAATCATGAACCAGGGTCCAGTTCTTGTTGTTGAGAAACGCGTAAGACGTTCCCATACTAACTCCCTACGTTCTAAAACAGGGTCTCCGTAAACAAACGTCATGTAAACTTTTATTCCATCAATGATTGCCTCAATGTCAATCATTCTGTTATTAGAAAATAAAATCTTAACTTGAAAATCATCCATAAAAAACAAAGCTAAACCGCCGCTTAAACCACGTGGCTCAACGGTAAACAAACGATCAAATCCTAAGTCGGCCTGAATGTCTTGCAACAGCAGCCTCCTATTCTTCGTCTCAGAAAGAAACACAAGTCCTGGGCGATGCTTCTGACACATCTCCGTAAGGCGTCGAACTGTGAGGTTGTTTCCTAGCCCTCGACAGTTCCAACTGATTTTCTTCATTGATGATGGTGGGATGAGTTTTTGGACCTCATCGAACCATCATTTTTTGAGCGAACATCCCTACTCTTCTTGATTACATGGCGGCTATGTCCCTGCCTTACGTCACTGGAGCTTGTCTTAGAGCGATGTGAATGAGGTCCTCGACGAAGGACATCAAGATCCTTGTTTGACATGCCCAAAGAGGCATTATGTCTACCACCACTCCTGGGATGACGTGAAGACTTGTGCCCCTGACTAGTGCTCTTCGCCACCACAGTTGATGCTTGGATAGTACTCTCTTCAGCCTCCCTAAGTTCCTCTCCAAGTAGATCATCATCGTTTGGATCATTGTATTCATACTCCATCATGCTAGAGTGGTGATGTTCCAAATTATCCATGTCATTCAATGCACCAATCATTTGCTCCGTGTCATCTATTTCTTGATCTCGCAAGGGCGAGAAAGATAATACTCTAGGTGTACCTCTGGGCCGAATTGTGACATTGCTTTCCATTGGAAGAGCAGCAGCGGATGGAGTTACAATGGTACTCGCGATCCGTCTCTGAACTTTGCTGTTATTATGTTGATCATCCTCCTCAACACTCGGAACAACTAACTCAAAGTTTCGTGGTTGTGGAGATGGCTGGGGTAAAGAACTACCAGCTCCGGCGCAGACCTCATCTGAACGGCGAGAGGGGATCGAAGGTTTTGCTCTCCATCGCTGATCTTCTTCCCGATAATAAGGTGCCGACTCCTTCCGTGCGCCTCCATCTCTCCTTGAATTGTGATCCCTCCTGGATACCCTACTCAAGTGCTCCTCACGGTATTCATTACCATTCTGATTCCTAGATGTTACAGCTCTGTTGCTGCGTGTCCGGGTAACATCTCTAGACTGATAAGGTTCACGCTCCCGTGTGTAGGTGTCGCGGGAAGACCCATATACATATCGCTTAAATAATTGATTTTTGGACAATATATATATATATATATATGTGCAACCCATTATAACAGAACCCATGATTTTTATCTATGTAACATGTACAATACCCATATTATAAGTGATTTTTGGGTAACATATATATGTGTATGGGCAATCCTCCGCTTTTGAGCTAGCTTTTGGATATGAATTATGCTCATCACTAATAAATTCAAATATTAATTATTTGATTAGACTCAATAAGTAGTCATCAAAATATTTGATATTTCAGATAACCGAAAAATTTAAAGTTTATAGCTGGATATCTAATTTGATTCACACAAATAAAATAAATATTTTAAAACAACTAAAAAATAAGAGCAGTAGAAAATATTAATATTTTATATTACAATCATTACAAATTATTTACTTCTAAAAACTATAATAACTAATATAATAAATAAAAATATTGTAACATTTATATAAATTATAATATTTGTACCAGTTATATATATAACTCCTTAAATATATGTATATAACAGATCAAACTGAATATTTATTTCTATAAATATTAGTAACTATTATTTGCTTTGCTTTTTATGAATATTGCATATTAGTATTTGTTTTGTTTTGAATAGTTATGGATATCCGGAGTTTTCTGTTTGATGAAAACAAATAACAGATAGAATCAAAATTTATAGATATTTTACCGAACCGACAAGAAATTATCATCAAAATAAGCGATATGTGTTGGATATGAGTTTAAGGCTCTTGTTAAATTTAATTTTGTCTATCTATTATATTATATGAGAAATCATGATTTCTTTCATGTATGATTCTTTTTATTTGAACCAACTCCTAGAAAACTTTTTAAATGTATTTTTGTATTTATCTAATAATATCTCCATAATAAATGGCATTAACCTTAAATTGTCATTATCTGACTATCAATATCACGTATTAAAAAAAGGGGAATATTTGGAAAAATACATTAGATTAGATAAAAATTTGAAAATTACACTATCTTTTTATTTTTTTGAAAACTATATTTACTAAAAAAAAATGAAATGACTAAATTGTCCAATATTAATATTTGCACCTAGTTAATATCTGAATTAATAATTTTAACTGAATACAAAACATTAGCGTTTAACAACAAATCAATTTAATACCATTTTCAAATAGTACTCTTAATATCTAAACCAAACTCTTCTGTTTATCATTGAAATCAATCACATCCTTGTTTATAAGATGTTTTTAATAAACAAAATCAAGCAGCTAATGGTACAGAAGACGTCTTTGTTTCTGATTTGATTTTGATGATTTTTGTTTATACGACAAACACACATGAAACAAACCCAGATTAAAAAAAAAAAAAAATATGAAAACCAAGCAGTGCATTGATTATGTATTTTCTCTTTATTATAATTTCACTACCACCTTGATTATGATAATGATGATACTTTGTGAACTTGTGTACATGGAGCACTAACTCTTGGAGAAAATTTTGACGTACGTATGTATGAATTGTTTGTTTTTCAACCAAAGTAAAGAGATTCAATCCATTTATTATTTTCATCATGAAGACACCAAGTAATTTGAACAATAGAAATAGCAGCGGAGAATAATCGAATAAGTACTAGTATGATAATAATTTTACTAATAATATTTTCAAATTTAGTATTAATTATTATAATTATAGCTTTTAATTAAAATATGGGTAAAATTGTCTTATCACATATGAAAAAGTGTAATTTTCAAAAAAGAAATAAGTAAGTGTACTTTTCAAAATTTAAAACATAAATAGAGTATTTTTCAAATTATCCCAAAAAAAAACCAAATAACATATACGATTGGTTATAATCTAATAAACTGAGAATTCATTGCCATAGTCTAAATTGATAAAGTATTTAGGACGAAGCAAAAGCTTCTATTTGTATTATACCGGTGGTCATTCACCGAAGATAGAGACGAGACGGTGTCACTGAAGGCTTCATCACCGGAGGATAGTGATTAAGATTTAGAAAACAGACGGTTCGGCGTTAATCACAACCGGGATCAACAACCAGGTTACACACTCAGTAGTCAGTACAATTCAAGGCTTAATGCAAACCACAATTAATTTAAGAATTGGGAGTAAACCGGAACATACCAATAGTTCTATATTAATTAACCGGCAATTAAAATGCTTTAATAGCTTATAGATGTACTATATTAAACATGAGACATGCACATCTTTTACCTTCGACATCTACTGTAAATACACATCACACACAAACTATTAAACTTATAATATAGGGGATACTACATTTAGCACACTTCCAAAATCATGTAGTTTAAAATGTTTATTATTTCTTAGGGTTTCTATTCAATCTTTTTATGTCAAAATCTACAACCAAATATTCATTTAGTTAGAGAAATATGCATAAAATTTTATATTTTGATATTCGAAATGAATATTCAATATGGATAATATTTACATATTTAATAAATCACTATAATGAATTAGTTTTCAAATATCAAAGAATAAAAATCTTCATAACTAACCAAAATATTCACAAAATTTAAAAATATTAACATCCTAATTCTATATCTCCAAAAATCTAGATTAACTAAAAATTCTAATTTTCTGACTATCAATACATAAATATAAAACTAACTTTTATAATATTTTCCACAACTATCTCAGCAAACTCTTGGAATATCTTAAAATTAAATGCCAATAACACTACATGAATACATTAAAAAATCAAATATTGATCAAACAAAAATTCTCTAAAATAAATCGATATTATATATATAATAGATTTATGCAAAATATAAAATTCTATATAACTGAAAAATCAATTATAAAAATAATCTATAAAATAAAGAAATTAAAATATAATTAATAATTCTAAAACGAACTTTATGCAAACTAAATAAATTCCGAAATAAGTTGTATATTGTAAAATATTTTCTTTATGTATTACTTTAAATTTAGAAGGTTTTACTAAATTTAAACGTTATGTTTATATATTCATTAAAAACTGATTGTCGCAAAAGTACATATATAATCACATATTAATAATATCAAACAAAAACACAAGAACAACAATGTTATAAAATATACAATATAAAATAATAAATATTAAATAATCAATTTAATATTTCTTTCTTATAAATAAAGTATATGTACTTATAAAAATAAAAATTAGTCGTGTGGATGCCTGAATCATACTTTAATTATAGTTAAACTCAATGCATTAAACTTACTGTATTAATTTAATATAGTATTTTCAATTAAATCTTTGATCCCTAACCAATAAGATTTTTCAATTTATAATTGTGTACCACATGATTAAAAATATGTTATTAATATAAAAAATTGGTCTACGAATATTATTTTGAACTTATAATTGATTTGTGTTATTAAATATGGTGCTTGGGTTGCTTTTATATTTCAATAATATATAACTGTATATGAATACTTTGTTAATAAAATGAAATCAATGTTATTTTTTCTGTAAACCATGTTCATATATTATTCATTATTGTAATCATTTTGTACCATTTTTATCTTGTGCAATTTTGAAAGTTCAATAGGTATTGTATCAATTTATGTCACTAACGTAAATTAAAGATGAATAATTGAAAGAAAAAAATATTTAGTGTAAATATTTTTATTTCATTAGGTGTATTATCAATTTAATGATACATTTAAGTGTTAATTATTTAACGTGATTTATCATAGACTGAAGAATTGCAAGAAATTTCTAACACTGAAAAAAATCGTTATAAATGATCCAATAGTTATAGGTTAGTATAACCAAACAATAAAAATCTAAATCAACAATAGAAAACACAAAAAAAAAACCTCAATAAAACAAAGATAATGAAGATAAAATACAAGTTTAGAAGGACAAAACTAAACATGATGCATTACAATTTTTGGTAATAATTTAAATGAAGCGATGTTTTATGAATTATACTTAGTATAGGTTTATTTAGTCAAAAATGTAAATCATACAAATAATTCCATTAACATATATGTATGGTCAGAACCTAAAATACAAGTATAAAAATAATGAAATATCTAAATTAATGTTAAATGGAATGATATTTCTCAGAAGAATTACAGAAGGCTACTGTTTTAATTAGTGTTTATGTTTTAAGATACTACCGACAATTTGAAACAAGAAATTAAATACTGTATCCAAACTATATTGTGTCTAAAAATCCCCTATATATTAAAGGAGAAGCATTATAACATTTTTCTGTAGCCACGTGTCATCAATACAATTATTTTTAGAATTTTTAGAAAAATATGTTGGTCCATCTAAATATATAATAACTTATTAATGTTTTTTATTATATCCTTAAATTTGAAACAATAAATTAAATTTGAAACAATAAATTAAATTTTTTTGCAGCCACGTGTCATCAACACAATTATCAACAGAATGACTTATTAAATTTTTTTGTAGTCACGTGTCATCAACACAATGACAATTTGAAACAATAAATTATTTTTTTGTAGCCACGTGTCATCAACACAATGACAATTTGAAACAATAAATTAAATTTTTTTGTAGCCACGTGTCATCAACACAATTATCAACACAATGACTTATTAATGTTTTTCATTGTTTCCTTAAATAAAAATAACGGAATTGCCAAATATAGTTAAAGAGTATATGATAATTAATGATTTTCAATAATAAAGATTTGATAAAAATTAGTGCATTTTTTCAATTTAACTTATCAAAATAAATTAAACAACTACATTAACTATATAATAAAAATTTAATTTTTTTTTGTATATGCTATACTTTGAATTTTTTAAAACGACTATAAATGACTAAAGTTGTTAAAAAATTTCACATTAAATTTTTTTGTGATGGTTAAATTTTTTTGTGATAACAAAATAGAAATGATTACAAAATTATATAAGTAAGAAGTCTCATTTTATATATATATATATATTGTTCAAAATAAATTATGTACCATATAAAATATATATGTATTTTAGATTCTAATTTTCTTTGATTTTGTTTTGATAAAAAATTTAAACAAATATTGACAACTTAATATTTAATTTTAAACTTTGCATAATTTTTTAAAATTACAAATTACTAAAAAATGTTAAACACCCCACACATAAAAATTGTTATCAGTGATTTAAATTTATGTTTTAAAAATAATAAAAATGAACAAAATAATAATATGAGTATAAACTATAACTTAACTGATATCAATACTAAAATGTTTATATTTCTATGATAATATCCTTTAAACTTAATTGTATATCATATAAAATAGAAAAAATCTGTTTAAATTAATAGAAAAATATTTATATATTTACACCAATTTTATTATATACGTAATAGTTACTGAATTATTATTATCAATATATATTTATTATTTTATAGTATGTAAAAAACATATAATGCGTAACAGTAATGTATATAAAATATTCATTCCACGCAAGGCACGGATCTAACCTAGTGTTATATTAAAGGAGATGTGTCTAAACAATAAATTAAATACTGCATCCAAAGTAGATGTGATATTATATAGATTAAAGGAGAATAAATTATGGTTACTAAAACATATGCGACATTATATGGACTAAAGGAGAATAAATTATGGTTAGAGTAATATATGGTAAGATAGATAATAGGTGAAATAATAGATAGACCAATGTACATATTAGTTAAATGATTATTTTACCATTAATGAATATGTGCAGTAACTTTATATAAGTCGATTTTTGAAGACTTATATAAGGTTACATACTTTTAAATGATCCACAAATAATATATTATGAATGATATTATAAAAGCCAATATAAAGGTAGTTGGAGATATGCTTTAAGCATCAAAGCAATGTTTTCAAAACTGAATCGGAGAATGAACCAGTAAAATATAAGAGTCACGGTTCAACCCGGTCTGGTTGGTTTAACCAGGTTTCAGTTTTAATACGTTACTGGATTTTGATCCGCGCTTTAAAAGCGCGGATATATTTTTACCATTTTGATAAATTTATTTAAATTATTATTCAAACAAAAAAATTTAAAAGTTTTTTTCTTAATATTTAAAAATATTCTATTATAATGTGATTTTCACGTAATGTTTTCATATCTGACCCAAATCCATAGTTGAACCGGTATATCCGACAACTTTTATATAATCTAGTTAAGATTTAATTAAAAATTTACTAATTAAAAATTTGAGCCATCCCGGTATATATTTTAAAACCCGCTATTAATCTGTATTATGATATTCGTTGATCCGTTAAATAACCCCATAAAAACTGATAATATATTTTTAAAAATTTGTTAAATAACTCATATTTTTAATATTAAAGAAAATTTATTTTTTATAATTTCTTTAACAAAAACTTTCTTGTCATTTGAAAAAACTGAAACAACGGAAATAGAAAAAAAAACACAATTTATTCATATAACAGTTTTAGTTTCTTTTCGTTATTAATAACCTATGATAAGTTTACATTTTGACTAATTTTATATCTAAGAATTAGTTTTAAAACAAATTCTATTGACATGTCATTATTATAGATAAAATGACACAGTAAATAATAATTTATAATTTTTATCGCTAAATAAAATGATGCATGGAAATATGATATTAAAATTAAAAAAAAAATCATATGATATTAATCACAAAAGTAGAAAATATTATCAGTTACCATAAATATAGGAGATATTAAATTGCTTAGCTAATTAAGATTCTAAAAATAAATAGTGGTATTATTTTATAAATATGATAAAATCTAGGGGTAGAATTCAAAATTTTAACAATATGATCCTGCTTTACTAGTATAGATTGTTTAATAGAGTAGATATATCATCGCTACGTTATTGACTTTTCTAAATCCATAAATGCAATCCACTTTTTAGTTATCAAATATTTGTTCTCTATTTCCACCTATCCAAATTTTTTCTTTTTCTTCTTCTCCATCTCTACCTGAGTTCAAGTTTCAGTAAAAATATTCATCTACATTTTTTTTCCATTTCATGCACATAAATAGTCTATACTCATTCGTTATATCAAATCTACTAATACATCTAACTAAATCAAAGTAAATTAACACAGTAATTCTCTTCAATTTACAAATCAACGAAAAAAGAATGATCTAACTATGATTTAAATATATAAACCGGATTTTTCAATGAAACCAGGTCACCGGTTCTTATGGTTTTGAGCGGTTTTACTGGTTCAACTCCAATCCGGTTTTTGAACTGACTTGGACTCGGCTAAATGAAGGAGTCACGGTCGGACTGGTCCAACCGGCCGGTCCGGTCCGGTTTTGAAAACCTTGCATCAAAGTCTTTTTTGTACAAATCATTTTTTTTTTTCAAAACTGGGAAAAATTTGGGTGTTTGGAATCTTCCATTATATATATCGACTCTCAGGTATCATTTACTTGTGTGCATCTTTGTTTTTAGTCTTTGGGAAAACATTTTGACTTTCAACCTTCGGGGGTCACAGAAGAAAATGGATGCCAAAGTAGATGTTGTCAGGAGAGAAGTAATCAAACCTGCTGCAGGTGCACCCCATGATCGCCTTCAACTCTCCCTCGTCGATCTCTCCTGTCCAGCAGTTTACGTTGGAACAATCTTCTTCTACAAAGCCATTCCCGGAGAGTCGCCGGAGATCATCTCGAGAAGGCTGAGGAACTCTCTATCGGAGACTCTGACACGTTTCTATCCCCTGGCTGGACGAATTGATGGCGTCTCAGTCAACTGCAACGACGAAGGAGCACTGTTCACTGAAGCGCGCACCGATCACCTCCTCTCCGACTTCCTAAAAAACAACCTCGATAACACTGAATCTCTTGGATTATTCCTCCCCTCAGTCGCACCTGGTGAATCTGCAGGAACATGGCCATTGTTGAGTGTTATGGTCAGTTTCTTTGGATCCGGGTCCGGAGCTGCGGTCACTGTGTCCATATCTCACAAAATATGTGACGCGGCCTCCTTGTTGACTTTCGTCCAAGGCTGGGCCGCTACAATGAAAGGTGCAATATCTAATGACATGGCGTTGACTATTCCTAACTTTGTAGGAAGTACCATTTACCCTCCTCCCCATACCTCTTTCCAGTCTCCTTCAGTTGATGACCTTTTAGAGTTTAGAGGAAAATGCGTTACCAATAGGCTTGTCTTCAAATCCTCTAAGATCGCTGCGCTTAAATGCAAGGCCGCTAGCGAAAGCCTACTTGTGCCTACACGTGTGGAAGCCATCATGTCACTTATCTGGATATGCGCAACAAAGGCATCACGGTCTAACTCAGTCTCTCCAAAGTCAACGCTGATGACTCAAGCCATGGACTTGCGGCTTAGGATCCCCACTAATGTTTTGCCCAAAAACGCCATGGGCAACCTGCAATCCGCATTCTTTCTCAAGATAGATGCAGAGAGCCCGATGGATATTGGAGAAATCGTTGTCCAGTTTAGAAAGGCCAAAGAAGGGATCAATGATATGATTGAAGAGAATCTCCAAGGCTATCATACTGATAGTACCGTCGTCACCACTAGCACTTTGGGTCAGAACTTGTTAGGTGTGCTGCAGAAGTTTATGACAGGGTTAACACCGGACATAGACATGTACGGAATGTCTAGCTGGTGCAAAAAGCCTTTCTACGAGGTTGACTTCGGATGGGGTAATCCGGTATGGATTGGATCCGCTTCCCATACCATCTGCGACAACCTAGTGTATGTGTTGTTATTGGATTCCAAGGATGGTGAAGATGTAGAAGCTTGGGTAGGCCTACCTAAACAAGACATGCCCGTCTTCGTTCGTGACCCAGACTTGCTTACTTACGCCGTCGTAAATCCCCCAGTTCTGATCTAATCAAGTTTGGTCATTACTCATCATACTCTGCTTTGTATTAATAAATGTTTGGCTTTTGCGTTTTGCTGTTATTGTTTATATTAAGAATCATTTCCATTTGCATGCTACTCGATGTATTTGTGGCTTTCATCTTGTTTCTGCTCTATATGCTTTATTTAAAACGTTTGTGTTTGACATCTTCTTGCATTTCCAGTTACTATTAACGACTTAATAATTTAAATATTACATAGGCTTCCTTCTATTATTATTTTTTGGTCAAACATAGACTTCCTTCTATAGTTTATCGTATTTTCTACTAACAATTTGCCCCTGATTCGATTCATGGGTCTGACTGATTCTGGGGCTGCCACAAGCTAAACCAGGAGGAAATTAATTTCTGAAGTTTGAACAGTTGGGTTTAAAAGCTCGATGTTTTTCAAGATGCACGACGGGTATCGTTGACTCGAAATTTTACTTCCTAATATTATTTTTCTCTGTATTTCTCAAAAAAAGAAATATATTATTTTTCTCTGTCTGTCAACTATATAAGACCTAAAATGATTTAGATATCCAAACATGCGGTACATCATACACCAAGTTTGAAGTATTTATTTCTTATAAAATGTATGTAAAAGTATATTGCATAACTCAAGAAAATGAAAAGAAAAACATAAGCTCCTAGCCTATATCCAAGTCGAATATGGGCACAGTTCAATAAAACATTAGTTTTGATAATATTTCAGGGGGTTATATATATACACATAAACTCTCAAATTATGATATTTAATTTTTGTTAGATATTTTAATAAATATCTTATGTCTCAGACTCCCAGCTAACTGAACCCAAACATTTGTGACGATCTGATCAAAATGAAACAGAACAAAAAAGTCAGGAACTGGTCTAGTTGTGTTCGGTATGATCTGTTTGGGCCAAATTCGCAAGCCTATACAAAAACAAAGTTGTCTAAAATTTGATTATAGGACAATTAGTTGGACTGTAAAAACTTTACTTTTTACTGTTAGTTTGTAGAATTTTTTGATGTACTTGTAGCATATATCTTATATAGCTATCGTATATAGCTGTATAAATTAAATAGCAAAAAATATTTTTTTTATGTCGATGTAACTAATGCGACTGTATAAATAACTGAGAAAAATAGATGAAAGAAATATATTTCCTACTGTAATATTTTTTGCTTTAAGAAATATAAGTCCTATAGTCATTTATTTTTATGGTTTTAATTTTAAAAATTACTTAAAATCATGATTGTTGATTTATATGGTTGTAAATAAAAAAAAAGTTAAAATCACTGCCCAACCAATCACCCTTACGAATTATTCTATACTGTATAACTTTTAATTTCGGTTTAACTACAGTTTCTTGATTTGCAAGAACAATTTTAATGGCTGGGAAGCTGAAGAAAGCCATTATAAATTGAAGAAACTTAACCGAAGTAGCAAACCACCACCCCCCAATCACTAAACCGTTATCAATATTTCAATCACAAAATGAGGATGTGTCATTATTAAGTGATCAGAAATTCTAACGATTTTATGAGCTAGAGAATTGATGTAATTCGTTGTCAAGAACGAATCCAAAATAAAATATTTCATAAAAGGTCAAGGGTAATTTAACCAAATTCTCAAGCAGTACATGCTCAGTTTCATTATTTTACTAGCACAAACCACATCACATGTCTACCCAAATCATTTCTCGGAATCAGTTTGCATCTCCCTATAACTAGCAGCTCTATTATTGAAGACATTAAGAAGATAGTCACAAGCTTGTCTTGAAGATGGTCTCTCCTGAGGATATTTTTTGGTGCACTGAATCGCTATTTCAAGAACCTGATAAGCTGTTTCTTCTTCGCACGGCAAAAGCGGTTTAAGTTCTGAATCAATCAGCTTCTCCCTCGCTGCAGAACCAGGTGGCATCTCAAGACACGTCTCCAGCCATCTAACCATATTGGTCTCTTCATCAAACACTTCATCTGTTGGCATTTTACCAGTCACAATCTCCATCAACACTATCCCCATACTGTACACATCACTCTTCTCAGTGGCCTTCAACGAGTAAGCATACTCTTTAAAAAAATAAAAAAGAACATTAGCTTTAACAAACCAAACCAAGAAACTCAGTGAGAAAGATATGTACCTGGTGCAATGTAACCATAAGAGCCTGCAAACAAACTATTTGATTCTGTGTTGGTGTCATTACTCTCTGTCAGGATCTTGGCCAGTCCAAAATCTCCTAAGTGTGCTTCCATGTTGGAATCAAGAAGCACATTACTAGTTTTGATATCACGGTGAACTATAGGAGGAACACAATCAAAATGAAGATACTCCACTCCTTGAGCCAAACCAAGTGCAATTTTCAATCTTGTTTCCCAATCAAGAACCTGCTTCTTCTTCACGTGAAGCCAGTCCCAGACACTTCCATTCTCCATGTACTCATAAATCAACAGGTTCAACCCATCTGCTTTGCTAGTGCAGTAACCCATCAGCTTAACCAAATGTCTATGTCTGATCGTTCCAAGTGTCTTCACTTCTCTGTTAAAGCTCTTGTTTGACATCAAATCATCTTTCCATAGAATCTTCTTCACAGCAATCGTCTCACCTTTTTTCAAATCCGCTTTATAAACTTTTCCTGACCCTCCTGATCCAATCATGAACTCGTCGTCAAGATGATTCGTTGCTTCCATAATGTCTTCCCACTTTATATCTGTCTTTGCAGTTCCATTACTAAACAGGGGAGCTTGTGAAGAAGGAGAAGAGTTTGATGAGAATGTGTTGTTTCCACCATGACTTTGCTTGCAGAAGAGGATGATCACTAGTACAATCAAAGCAACAGCTGCTAATGAAGACAACGCAGAGATTATAACTATAGTTTTTGCACTAAGACCTTGCTCCTTTGATCCAGCTCTCTTGCAGCGACCAAGAGGGCTTCCACAGAGTTCTGCATTGCCTAAAAAAGCATCAGCTTTCCATTTATAGAACTGCTTCTTTAACCTTCCCTTGAGGTTGTTGTAAGAGAGGTTGAGATATCCTAAGCTCTTCATTTCTCCTATTTGACCAGGAACATCTCCGACAAGGTGATTATGAGACAGATCAAGAGATTCAAGCTTAGGTAACATCGAAATGGTAGGTGGAATGTGTCCAGTAAAGTTGTTGTAGCTGAGATCTAAAGCACTTTGAAGATCTTGTAGCTGTCCAACCTCAAATGGGATGTCTCCTGTTAAGTAGTTTCTCGATAACCGAAGCTCGTAAAGCTTACTAAGCTTGCCTATATCTGAAGGAAGCTGACCTGAAATCTGGTTCTTTCCTAGGTTAAGTACATTGAGAGCTTCCAAGTTCCCAATCTCTTGTGGTATAGAGCCGTTAAGTGAGTTACCATCAAGAGATAGCACAAGAAGCTTGGTTAAGTTAAAAATCTCAATAGGGAGTAAACCGGTAAGGTTATTAGAAGAAAGCTTGAGCTCACCAAGCAATGGAAGCTCTCCAAGCCATGGAGGTACAACCCCTGAAAGAATGTTATCGCTGAGATCAATGAGTGTCAGATTCTTACACAAACCGAGCTCTACAGGTATGGTTCCTGTCAGAGAGTTGCTTGAGATATCCAATAAAGACAGTTTAGTGATCTTCCCAAATGTCCATGGGATTCTTCCTGTGAACTGATTCTTCCCTAACCTTAACCGGTCGAGGCTCGGAGACTTCCCAAGCTCAAGAGGTATATCTCCCTCGAATCCGTTGTCCGTGAGATCAAATGATAGATAAGAGCTTGAACCACACAAGGGACTGATGGAGCCATTGAGCTTGTTGTTTGAGAAATTGATTCTTGTGAGATTCTTGAGGTTGATAAGTGAGCTCGGAAGGTTACCTTGGAGAGAGTTGTTGTAAAGGTGAAGCTGGTCCAAAGCGGTTAAGAAGCCGAAGGAGGAAGGAATCGAACCGGTGAGGTGATTATCAGCTAAATCAATAAGAGTTAGTTGTTGACAGTTACCTAAAGTGGCGGGAATGTTACCAGAAAACTCGTTCTCTCTCAAGTGAAGCCAAAAAAGATCTTTTAACCTTCCTAACGAAGAAGGAATCTCTCCACTGAAATGATTCCCATACGTATCAATCAGCTGAAGACTCGTGCAGTTCCCAATCTCAACCGGGATTTGACCAGAAAACCGGTTCTTGAAAAGAACTAGACGTTCTAGTTTGGTGAGGAAACCGATCTCTTTAGGTAACTTCCCCTCCAAGTCATTCTGATACACACCAAACTCTTGTAGATTCGTTAGGTTAGATATCGATGGAGATAACGTGCCTTTCAAGGTATTGTTGTGAATATTCAAAACCGTGAGTTCCACGAGGTGATACAACGAATCTGGAATTTGACCTGTGAGGTCATTGTTAGACAGCTCAAGCTCTTGTAATGACTGACATTTACCGATCTCTGTCGGAATCTCGCCGGAAAGGTGAGTTTCATGCAAACCTAGTACCTTCAGATTTGTGGTTTCAGAACATAAGCTCTTTGGTAAGGAGCCAGAGAGAGGATTGGAATCTAGAACAAGATACTCAAGCTGGTTCATGTTCCAGAACTCTTCATGTATCCCTCCTGTGAGATTGTTCTTGGACAAATCTAGGGTTTTAAGGTTTTTCAACTCGGTTAGTGTCTTTGGAATCGAGCCTTGCAGTTTGTTACCAACCAAATTAAGGTATTTGAGATTGCGCAGATCACCGAATTGACTCGGTATCTCACCGGAGAAGCTGTTGTTTTTCAAGTTGAGTGTCTCCAAGTTTCCGAGTCGACTCAGCTCCGCCGGTAAAGATCCGTTGAGTCTGTTCACCGCCGCGCTGAACAAAACGAGGCTTGTGCAGTTACCTAACTCGGGTGGAATCGGTCCTTCGAGGAAGTTGTCCTGTAGAATCAAGTTCTGGATGTTAACGAGTCGACCGAGTTGACTCGGTAACGGACCGGTGAGACTGCATGCGGCCAAGGCTAGCGTCTGGAGATTGACGAGATTCCCGAGCGTCTCCGGGATTGATCCGACGAACTCGTTGTTTCCGAGTTTTAACGACTTGAGGTTCACGAGTGAACCAAGTTGACTCGGTATCTCGCCGCTGAGTTGGTTGGTGAAGAGATGCAAAGTTTCCAAAGAAGAAGAGAGGTTGGAGAGATCAGCTGGGATGGGGCCCACGAGACTGTTGGACGATAGATCGAGGTCGATTAAGTTACTGAACCGGCCAATCGAAGGAGAGATTGAACCGGTTAAGTTTAAACCGGAGAGGTTTAAACCGATGACTACACGACCACCGCACGTGACACCGGTCCAGTTACAGAAATTGGGATCATCGGAGTTCCAACTCCGGAGAACGTTTTCGTCTTTTGGGTTTGCGACAAGAGACTTCTTCACTTCGAGTAGAGTTTGAAGATCGTTGGTTTGACCCGGTTGACCCGACCCGATTGAAAAACAGAGGAAAAAAAGAACAAAGAAAGAAATTTGCTGCATTGTTTTTGCTTCTTGGTTCTTCAGGAAAGAAGAGATGTATGAAAGTGAATGAAGATTCTTGAAGTTATTGTGGTGGAGTACTATAGTAGAAGTGAGACTAGTGTTGGAAACATAGAGAATTTAAGACAATTGTTGGTGTTTTTTTGGTTGAAGATGATGAAAGCTAGATGATTGGTCGTGAGAACGGTTCATGGGGGGGGGGGGGGGGG